AACAAGGGCTCTTCCGAAAGAGGAGACTTTTCCAAAATCTGGCCCAGTGTAGACAGGCCAAATTTCTGAAGAGTCTTCTGAAAAAACTACTGAGGAAAGGTAGGCAAATTGCGCTTCACAATTTGCGTACCTTTTTCCGATAAATCACCGTAGTGTAGACAGCCAAAGTGTTTCTTTATTTTATGTAAAGATGCCCGGTTGAGATTCGGTGTAGTGGACAGGGGAAGAGGTAGAGTTTGAACCCCATATCCGGCACCCTGTAACTTGAGTGCGTGACTCATGACTTTTGTACCCTAGGAAGTTTCAATCTGTAATGAAAACAAATCATACAGTAAACACAAACCTTTGAGGCCATCTTGAGGAATCCTAAATCAGAAGAAAAGGTAAAGTCTTTTTCTCCTAGCTTTGGATCAACATGGCTTTCAAGTTAATATGTAATCAAGGTGAAATGGTTGGTAGTCTGCAACTACAGTTAGCTGGAGATAGTTTTCTTTAGGTCCTATCTGCACTGGTCTAAAAACAAATACTAGAAACAGTATTTATGTATGTTTTAACACTCATTAACTAAATGGAGGTGATACGTAGAAGCCATAAAAAGGCTGGAGTAATTGTCTCCTGCCCCCAACAAACCAAGCCTGAAGGAAGGACCCTAGAGTGCAGGAGCTCTGACCTAGATGGTACCAGCAGGTGGAACACTAGCCGAAAGGTGTCGCTCCAGGGTTGAAGAACCAATTCCCAAATTGACCAGCAGGAGGTGATATGGGAGTAAGTGCCCACCCTGTGACAGATACAAAACTGTTAGAACAGACATCTAACCTGGGTAATACAACCACACAACAGAACAGATAGACTTAATGGTCCTACTCTTCCTGGAGACTTGTAACAACAAAATTCCATTAACACTCAGTTATTTCTGCAGGAATTCTGTGCCACTGTGCAGCATAGAAATGTTAGGTGCACATAATTTCCTACTTTCCCCCACAGAAATGGTCTGCAAAGCTATTGAACACCATTAGGGGCCACAGTATCCAGGAGAGCCCAGCTCCCAAATAGAAGACAAGACTAGGGGGAGGATCTTGGAGGACTTCCCAACAGGTGCAGTTCCCAGCACACCCTGAAGGAAGGAGTAGTGCACAGGAAATTCCATGGAGACATAAGACTCAGCTGCTCCCTCTGGATCCCTGGGAAATATGGGACATGGGTGTGTGAACTGAGGGAAGGAGCACCTGAGCTCTGGGGGTGTTAGTAACTCATTTGGGAGGGCAGCAGCTGGGGAAGGGAGGAGTGAGAGCATATTGGCAAGGGGGGGTCCCAGCAGTTGAGCTCTGGGGACAAGGGAGTGTCTCTGGGCCATGGGAGGTGAGGTGAGGGCTGAACATGGGAACGAATGTGTGTGAGTGTGGGCCAGGGGGGAGGTAGGTTGAGGGAGTATGAGTGTCTGGGCTTGAGGAAGGAGGCAGAAAAGTAGTGGGGTTAGGGGCAGGATTGTTTCTTTAACTTTCTATCTCTAAGGGAATTTCTGTGAGTATCTGTATTGTTACAGACTTACTTACTGACAGATATTTTGAAATAAAACTCTAAATAATTGAAACTGGAGTGATTATGCAGTGTTATTTTGACACAAAAAAATTGTAAAATTTTAAAATGTGTACAGAATTTAAAAATTTTGGTACATAATTCCCCTGGGAGTAAGAGGCGTCCATTGTTACAAAAGCTCTTGAAACTGTGCATATTATGTTAAACAGTTTTCTAAGATTCCCTAATGTAAAAAGGCCCATTATGGTTTGTCCAGTCTTTATGAACAAAGCTAAACTATGTCAGAACTACATTTTAAACATATTTAAGGCATGTCTTTTTAACACACTTCAAATATGACTTGTGAGATTTGGTTTGGTGGGTTGGCTTTTAACAATTTAGCTACTGTACTTAAACTAGTTTCCTAAATTCTGTTCTTTGACCAGTTTTGAATTTGGCTGGAAACCAACCACAGATGGCCCAGTCTGCTTAAACATAACTCCTATTAAGAGATTTCATAGCATTTTTATAATGAAATAAACTTGTAGTTTTTTAATGTTAATGGCAGTAGTCAGATGAAATTGGTACAATCTACTCAAAAGAAACTGAAGTATTGACAAATTATGATGCATCATTCCTAACTAAACCATTTCCAGGCCATCTCACTGATCACAGAACATAATATATACTGGATTAGTGAAAGAAAATACTACATAAAAAGGGTGTAGACGAGGTATGTTGGATATCGGGGAATTGAATAGTTGAACAACCGCATGAATTCTTATTGGTTACTCGACTATTCTATAGTCCCCAGAGGTGGGGCCAGCAGCCAGTGCGCCTACTCCCAGGGAGCCCCCTTCCACCCTGAACTGCTGCATTTGTATCAGAGGCAGCAGCAAAGGGTGCCAGGCAGGAGCCAGTCTGCGAGGGAAGCAAGTTTAAAAATCAGCTCCCCACACAGACCTGTTACCCCACACTGCTGCCCCTATCTGTGGGGGTCCAAGTTCCCTGCAGACATAGACTACTGTGGGAGGGAGGAAAAGGGGCAGCAGCAGCCTCACCCTTGCTGCCTCTGTATCAAAGGCAGCAAGGGGGAGGGAAGCAGGAGCTGGCTTAAAAGCCAATTCCCCCCAGCACCAGCTCCATAGTGCTGCCTCCCCCCCATCAGCATAGAGAGATATGGGAGGTTGCTGCAAAGCAGCTTCTGTCTGTGATGGGCCAGAGTTCCTTGTGGACAGAAGCTGCTCCACCTCCCAGGGAGCTGCTTTTGTCTACTGCGAGCCTGGGTCTCCCGTGGACAGGGGCTGCTGCTGGAGACCAACTTCCATGCACGGTGGGCCTAGGCTCACTGCAGACAGAGGCTGCTCCATGAGAGATGGAGTAGTTTCTGTCCAAGGAGAGCTCAGGAGGCAGCAGCACTGCGGAGCAGAGCTGGTGCTGAGGGGAACCAGCTTTTAAGCCAGCTCCTGTTTCCCTCCCTCTTGCTGACTTTGATACAGAGGCAGCAAGAGCGGGGGGTGGGGGGGGGGGGGGAGAAAATGCATGTAATCAACAAGATTACCCAGTAAGCCTAGACTTATTGGTTAAATGTATAGTCGACTACAAGTTGAAATCCCTAATGCAGACTCCAAGGAAGTGTATCTGAAACAAATCAATAAATGTGGCAGTAGTCAGCCAATGTATCTTAGCCTAAAATAGAATGATTTGAATGTGTAACTTACCTAACCTTTTTAAAAACTCAAGATTCTGCAAATATTACTGGACACCATCTGAAAAGATTTTTTACAAACTACATTCAATTAAAAAAAAAAATTCTTCTCCACAGACCAACTCACAACTCGTACTACCTTCCTTAGGGTGAAGGGAAATAGCAGAATAGGCAACATCTGGATGATAAGACTGATTTAAACTCATCAATGTGTGTTCTGTTCTAGGGTCTGAATGAGACAGAGCCAGGAAATGCACTAGCCACTTCGTGGACCCTCAAGTCTTTTAATCTCTCCAACGCAGCTTTTACATTAGATGTAGAAGATATCAATCACTTAATTCTAGATATATAGCTATCATAGCTAGCTTAAATTTTATTATGATGTGATAGAGCACAATCACATTCATTTTCATTACAACAGTACATACAATCTCTACAACTTTGTGTAAAAAAGCACTGTGTGTAAAACAGGGCAGCCCTGTTAACAGAGATATGTATCATATGCTGTAAGTCACACAGTTCAGAGCATTGCAAGACTTTATGGCTATTACAATACATGCTGTACTGTTCATCAATGCAGATAAATAATAAGCTCTATGTCACTGTTATATATATACACACACCACAAAATAACAAAAACTTAACTCTCCACAACTTTGTGGCTATAGCCTAGTTCAGTCCAGTTTAAAGTAGTTTCATGCTGACCACTGCTTCATTTAAAGATACTTCGTTTCCAAGCTTTGTGCTCCAGCTGTCATTTCCATGTGATACAAGATCTGTTACCTACAATTCTAAGATAGTCACTGCGACTATTAAACGTGGCTGTCACTTTAATCGCAGCCGCCAATGAAAAGCAATAAAGATCTACGGTGAAATGCTAGCCCCTCTGAACTCAATGGCAAAACTCCCCTGCATAGCAGTGGGGCTCGGATTTTACCTTTCCTCTGCATATGGAAACAGCTACCTGCCACGCTCCGCTCCTCACAACTCTTTCCACTGGCCTCCGCAGCACCCTGCAGCCAGCGCCCAAAGCAGGGTCTAAGGGCTGGGGGCAGCGATAACAGGCTGTCTGTGTCTGGGTAGCTCTGCTGGCCCGAGGCAGGAGCCCCCCACACAAGGCTCCCCGCGAACGGCAGCGCCGGGCCCAGCACGCATCAATGCGAGAGCTCTACCTTCAGCAGCCGGGACCTGCGCTCCACCACAGCTCCCCCGCGCCCGCCCGGCCGGCCGAAGTCCAGAGCCCGGCGTTTCCGAAGCGCAAACAGGAAGGGCGGGGCGGGTGCCGGGGAGCGCGGCTGGAGCCCAAAGGGCGCGCGGGCTCGGAAGTTTTCACCGGAAGAGTCTCTCAGGCGAGCGAAGGGAACGCTTGCTTCCGGCGGACTACAACTCCCAGAGAGCCTTGCGTTAGGCTCTTCCCGGGCCCTCTTCTAGGGGAGGGCAAATAGCAGGATTGAGCGACTACCTACATCTCCTAGAAAAAAAACCACACTAAAAACAATGAAGTGGGCTGTGCCCACGAAAGCTCATGATACCATCTACATGTTGTGTTAGTCTCTAAGGTGCTATCAGACTGTTCTTTGCTTTTGTATGGTTTTTTCAGTTGCAGACGGACACTCATGCAAACCCCTCTGAAACTACATCTCCCAGAGTGCCTTGGGCGGAGAGCCCCGTCCCCTCCGCGCACTGAGCGCCCAGGCGGGCGTCCACTTGTCGCTGGGCTGCCTCCCTCAGTGCTCTGGAAGGGAGCTAGGGGGCTAGTGGGGCTGGAAGGTGCCGGCAGCAGAGGTCCGCGCCCCGCCCCGCACACAGACTGGCAGGGATGGGGGACAGGAAGCAAGGCAGCTGCAGTTGTTCTGTGCCTCTCCGTCCACTCTGCATTGGCTCAGTTGAGAGAAGAGGTGGGACCTTGAGCGGAGAGGGGTTGTCCTAGCCCTTCCCCAGGTGGGTGGGTTATGTGGCCTGGGCGCCCTGAGTTCACCCTCTGTAGGGAAGAGACAGAAACTGAAAACCAGGAGATCAAGACTGACATGGTGGCATAAAAGATATTGTACTGTGCACTGCGTAGTCTGTGTTGTAACTGAAATCAGTATATTTGAACATGTAGAAAAATATCCAAAAATAATTAATACATTTCAATTGATTCTGTTTCTAAAAGTGTAACTAAAATTGCAATTATGATTAATTGAGTTAATTGCATGGGTCAAATGGTCTTAATTGACACAGTGCTAGATTACATTCAGTTTTAAGCTTTTAGAATATTTATCGATTTTTGCAGCTCAGTGTTTAAAAGTTTTACATTTAAATTTTTATAGTTGTTGGAAAATATGGATAGGTTGGGCAATAAGTATATAAGAACAGAAGATGCTAAGATTTAAAAAATTAAAGTTGTATAACTATTAAAACACAAACTCAAGATCACATTGGATGGTTACAAAAGAATTTCAAAACCCAATTACAAAGGGAGACAGCTGAATGAGTTCATTTGCAAAGTCAGTACAATATAGGACGGAATAAGGATTTAATTGGTTAACACACTATAAAGGCAGTTTCCCCTGTTAATAGTCACATCTCTACACCAAATGCCATGAATGAGCAACTTCCACTCTAACTTGATTAGCCTAATGAACACAATATATACACCCCTACCTGTGTGACTTCCACTTCAGTTCATCTGATAAAATAGGTTTTACCCATGAAAGCTTGTGCCCTAATAAATCTGTTCATCTCTAAGGTGCCACATGTCTTCTTGCTGATTTTGCAGATACACAATTAACACAGCTATGCCACTGAGACTTTTTTAACATAGACAGGATTTAACCATCTTATTGTAACAAGTTTGGTGTCTTTAATATTTCAACATTACACTACATCAGTGGTTCCTAATCTTTTAGATACAGGGACAGCAAACCCAGTCACAAACTTTTGGCGGACCAACAACATTTTATTTGCATATTCATTATACAAATGATGAACATGCGACTGTGCAAATAAAATGTTACCGGTCTGCCAAAAGCCCAGTCCCCAGAGCCCCCAGTGCCAACCCTATCCCTTAGAGCAGGGTTTCCCAAACTTTATATAGTTGGAACCCGTTTTTTTCAGTACCTTTTTTTGCGGCCCAAAAATATAAACGCATATTAAAAAAAAAGAAAGAAAAATGAATAAATTTTCACAGTTTATTATTTATTCACAATAATAATAGTACATAATATAAATCTTGATATAAAATACTTAAGTGACTAACTTATTGTTATTACCTTAATTACAATTTAACCAGTAGAATTTTAACAATTGTAAAATAGTGATAGAAATGTAGCCGTGTTAGTCTGGTGTAGCTGAAGCAAAATACAGGACTATGTAGCACTTTAAAGACTAACAAGATGGTTTATTAGATGATGAGCTTTCGTGGGCCAGACCCACTTCCTCAGATCAAATAGTGGAAGAATTATCACCTCTAATATCATTAGCTCACAGACATTTACCTCTCTCCCCTCCTCCCCCGCATCCCCCTTCTGTTCTAAAATTTGATTTGTCCTTTTCACATGTGTTCTTTTTTTTAATTGTATCCTTTGGTATATATAGTTGTGACTATTTTCTTCCACTATTTGATCTGAGGAAGTGGGTCTGGCCCACGAAAGCTCATCATCTAATAAACCATCTTGTTAGTCTTTAAAGTGCTACATAGTCCTGTGTTTTGCTTCAACAATTGTAAAGTTTGTTTATTTATAATTTAATGAATTGAATATAAGTCATTTATTATGTGTACACTTTATAGCTTTTAAATAACTCAAAAGAGAACTAATTGAAAGGGTGATGTTGTTTTGCATCACATAGCAACTTTTTGTCAGGAGCAAAAGAAGAAAGTTTTATCCTCAAATCTGTTTCAACATTCAATCTACTTCTGTATTTATTTTTGAAGAAAACCAAAGACGAGAAACTAGTTTCACACTTACATGTTGTGATGAAAGGCATTAAGAATTTGATTGCTTTCTCAGATAAATGTGAATATTCATTTCTACAACTCAAACCAAAAATCAATCAAGGAGGCTGCGTCTAGATTGGCATGATTTTCCGGAAATGCTTTTAACG